AAACATTAACTCTTTTCATCCCCTCACAAATTGACTTCCCTCTGAAGTCCTAGATGCTCGCTTTCCACTCCTTAGTCCAGAATGACATATATATTGCATCTTGCCTTCCTGTCTGTGGAATTTTTATGCTTATATGAATTCCCCGTGCACATGTATTAAAACTGGATTTTCTCCTGTTACTCTGTTTCATGTTTAACCAGCCAGAAGAAGCGAGAAGAAAAGAGGGAAAGTTTCCCCATTTCCAACAAGTGTAAGAGGACAGAAAGAGCACAGTGAGTGGGTCGCATGTTATAAGGCTGCTATGTCAGCATCTCTCATGGTCAAATTTATGTAGAGAGGAGGCAAGAGAATTAAAAATGTTAATCAAACCACAATCAGAGACTGCAATATGCTGATCAGCCCTGCAGCCAGACCAGGAGGATGCCTGTAGAACAAAGGAAGATTTCTACTGCGATTGCTAACAACCCTTCCCCTACACCTGTGGGAAACAGGAACCTATGAATTAAAGGCTGGAAACCGCCAGCAGGCCTATCATTCTACATATTCTTATCTTTTCACGCCGCATACTCTTCTCCTTCTTCACTATATATCCACATTAAAGGAAATGGGAACTAAAAAATGACATATAAACTGAATTCGCTGAACACTCAGAGTCCCTCTCAGTGTCTTTATTCTGTCTCTCACTGTCTCTTTCACTCTCCTTCTCACTCTCTGCCTCTGAGACGACACCACCACTCTGTAGAGTGTTACCCTTTTTCTGATAAACTTTCCTTTTGACTCCAACTTTAGCGTATGCGTTGAATTCTTTCTACACTCTCCACCAAAGGACCCTCTCCTTCTCTCGATGCAGGGCTTGGTCTCCACCCATCCCCAACCCCCTCCCCGCCAACGGGGAAATTTGCCCTGTCCTACATTGTAAGGGTCAGGGATATTGCTGACCGAGAAGGGAAGGTTTGATGGTGTGAGGCCTAGTTGGAAGAATGCACAAGATGCAGATATGAGGATGAAATGGCAGGCACCAACTTTATTGTGTGGAGCACAGTTTTGTTGGGAAGTGCAGTTCTACTGGGGAGTTCAGTCCTATTGAGGAGTGCACGGGGCACTCAATCTTGCATGCACTTCTTCTACTCCCCTTTCTTGTGCTCCCCTTCTGCTCTCTCCTTCCTCTCCAGGAGACAGCATGTCTCCTCACATAGCAGAGTACAAAAGTGGCCTTTAGCCACACACGTGTGATACAATAAGCTGAAGTATGTTTTCATATTTTCTAAATCTGGCTGCAGATTCCTATTCCTAGGTGTGGGCCTGGATCACAGACAGACCTTGGACCAGCCAGATCTTGGGCCAGTCAGGCCTGGCACCCACATACATCATCATGAATTCGTGCGTTTAAACGAATCTTAGATTCATGTCATCTGGCAATTCTACTTCTGGGTATATGCCCAAAAGAACTGAAATCAGGGTCTCGAAGAGATATTTATACATCTATGTTCACAGCAGCCCAAGAATAGAAACAACTCAAGTTCCATCTATGAAGGAATGGATAAATGCAAGGTGGTCCATCCATACAAAGCAATATTATTCAGCCTTAAAAAGAAGGAAATTCTGACACAGGCTACAACATGGATGAATCTTGAGGACATTATTCTAAGTGATATAAACCTGACACAAGATGGCAAATACTGTATGATTCCATTTCTATGAAGTATCTAGAGTGGTAAAATTCAGAGACAGAAAATAGAATGGTGGTTGCCAGAGGCCAGGAAGATGGGGAATTGGGAGTGTTTAGTTGGGGACAGAGTTTCAGTTTCAGTTTTGAAAGATGAAAAGAATTCTTGAGATGTGAAGGTACAAAAATGTGAATATACTTAACACTATTGAATTGAACACTTCAAAATGGTTAAAATGGCAAATTTTATGTTATATTTATTTAACCACAATTTATTTTATTTTATTTAAATATTTTTTATGCCTACAGTACCCAGTTTTCCTAGGTGGTCTCCCATTCAAGTACTAACCAGGTCTGAGGCTGCTTAGCTTCCGAGATCAGACTGTTCAGGGTGGCATGGCCATAGGCTCTTTAACCACAATTTTAAAACAATCTTAGTACAGTGCCTTGAGGGTAATCACAGATAACATCACTGTAGAGGCTCCTGGCCCCGCCCACCCCTGCCGTGCCTACCCAGGGGTAGAGTTGTCTTATATGGGTTCTTAGCTCCTTTTAGAGATATTATCAGCTGCAGCTCCACCTGGCTTAACTCAACCTCACTGACTCCGATCCAGTTATCCAGGGTCTGCTCCATCAGTCTGGTATGTGTGGGTAACCCTTCTTCTATAGGAGACAGGACACATGGGTTCAGATATTCCCAAACACCTCGGCAATCCGAGGATGCAGTTGCTTAGCTTGGTTCTTTTCATGCCAAGAGTAGAAAAGACCCATTTTTTGGAATAAAGTAGAAGGAGCTAGGAGCTGCGAGTGGGGG